CTAGACCTCAACCAAAAGTGAGGTCAACAGAGCACGATCCTTCAAACCGACAAAAGGCATCAACCCAATATTCGCCCGAACATCGCTAGTGACCTCATAAGAGCCTCTAAGACTCTTCAGGAGGTTGAAGATTCTCGCTACAATATAATCCGCAAACACCCGAAATGGACCTTCAATCAAGGGGCGATATAATTATCATATTACGGTGATGCATCCTCTACTAGTCAACCTACTTTAATCCTTACTGCATGAGTTTCTTATTCAGAAGTCGATAATTGATAGCAAGATGAAAATGACCAATCGGTTTACTCATGCCTACCGAGTGAAGTTCGGATGACTGAAGGTCAACTAGAGCCAACCGATAGTCCCAAATCATTATAGTCAGTCGAATGAGCCTTATTGATCTAAGGGCCAGCTATTTTAGCTAACCAGGTGATAGGATAACCGAACCATAACTCTTTTAAAGCAGAGGTAAGCATGTAATTATACACATTGTACCCCCCTCCTATAGCTGAAAGGCTCATTTCGACAGTAAAGATAATAAGTAATCAACTATTGAATTCATTGTTCTGCACTCTCTCTATATCTTTCTTTGTCCTGTTCTACACTCACTCTATTTATTGGATGTAATTAATAAGGCAAATTTAGATTCAATAAATACATACATGCTCATACACAGACACACACACACAAATACATCATACATATATACATGCATGCATACGCATACATACATATAGACTTAAATAAACACCACACAAATATATATATATTTGTGTGTAAGTGTGCGTTCTGTGGTCTGTTTGTAGAGCTGCTACATTGAAGGTCATCAGTCCCCTCAGGTCCCAGGGTCGAATCACCTGCTCGTGCAGTGTCTCCTTAAAGTAGGTGGTATTTGAATTTATTTGCACACTGCGTTGGTTCCTAGACCTGACAGGAGTTAGCGCATTAAGGGTTGATCGGCTGTTCCTCCTGTAGATCACTTTCTTTTTTATAAACAACTATATATATATATATATATTATAAATACACTCAAATACTCATTCAAGCTAATCTTCTGTCTTCCTTGATAGGATTAGGTATTATTGAAAAATTTCTATAATAAACTGCTCGAATTAGTATTTAAGTGGTGATAGAAACAAAGGACGTCGAACGTCTTCTCCATCTATCATTCTCTCTTTAAACCCAGTACTGCAGCAGCAAACCTGTAGCTGCATTTGTTCCTTCCTTCCGCTCTCAGCCTTTGAAACGTGTGGAGTAGTATTCAGCACAGTGATGGAAGTTGGCAGATTATCTTCAGTAAGCGTGCTTATGATTTTTCCACATTGCATCTTTTCTGCCCTTATTTTTTTATTATGACTGGGGGTTACCTTCCCTTCCCTCTCTCTCTCTCTCTTACTTGAGTTAACTGAGAGTTTCTTTCATCGGTGAGAAGCGAAAGAAAGCTAATAGTGGTGTCACGTGGATCTATAATTGTTTGCGTATACGCAAGGCTACGTTGTTGAATTAAGAGAAAAAACTAAATTCATCGATGATATTTTTGCTGGTTCATAAAGATTCTTTCGATTAAGCATAATCTTAAAGTAATTTTAAGGCAATTCTGAAAGCCAAATAAAAGACAAATTTTCATGAAAAATCAAATGTGATAACACGAAGAATGCAGAGTTTCGATTAAAATAGGGGATGAATTGTTAACAACAAAATTGTTTTATATTGAACCCATTGGATTCATACAATCCAAGGAAAGGTGGAATAGCCTAAAAAAGATTTGCCTAAACCGACCTTACTTGGGCGGATTACTCAAATGGCTCGTAAAATATGTTTTACTGAAGTCTATGCTTAAACAGTGAAATCATCTCAAATAACTATCGCAACAACAAGCACGTGCCTCAATCAATAATATAATAGCTCATTAAGAATGTTAAGAAGAACCAGTAAAACTGTGATATAACTTTTATACATGATTTGATCTTAATTATGGCTAGTTGTGAAACAAATGCATATAAAAAGTACAATGAAATCGAATTTTTGTATAATAGAGAAAATGCAAGGTTTTTACACTTTTATACTTGGACAACTATCAGCACAATTATAGTATACACCAGATAAAAAAAAAAGAAAAACGAGTTGAAAAAGAGAAAAAAAAAAGAAAAAGAAAATGAAAAAAAAAAAAAAAATAACGGTTGAATTACTTTGTGCATTTTTAAACCAAAGTAGGATAATGAGTCGAAGGGAAGTATTTCTTAAGTATTGCCTTCCAAAACGAAGAAATGACTCGTGCATCAAAAAAGCTATAGTATAATTGATTTCATTTATCAAATTAAATGGGTAACCATGCAATTTACTTTAATGAGTTTAGCTTTAATTTTAGTTCATACTACGGACATGATGAGCTTTTCTTTGAACATCTTAAAGAGGGTAAGTATGCAATTTACTTTAATGAGTTTAGCTTTAATTATTGTTCATTCTACTGACTTGATAAGCTTTTCTTCGAACATCTCAAGACCACTTGCCAAATTGCAGGCATGTGGAAAACTGTGAAACTAAGTTCTTCAAGTTGACTTGATTGATTTGATATTGATGACATTAGCAAGGTGTATATTTTTTCAATTATTTTCTTATCTTTTACAAAAGGTTAAGAAGAATATGAGAATTTATCCCGCAAACCTAACTCAAAGTTGATCATACTCATTTATTCTTCATCTAAATTAACAAATTACATGTTTGTTGTCTATGATTTATAAGAATGCTCGAAACCTCTATCGATCATCATGTTAGACATATAGGTATGATTACCAATTGCAGTAATATCTAAATATCTTGGATATTACAAGAAAAATGTAAAGCTTTTGAGAATTATAAAGCTGTAAGTGAATCATCCAACTTATTTTTGAGGAATTACTCTCAAGCAAATATAGATTTTAAGAATGATAAAAATAATATCACAAATAAGAGCATTAAAAGGCTATTGTAGGTGTTTTTTTTTTTTAACCTTCAATGTCCATGCAATATTAGATTAATAAAGTTAACGATAAAAGAGAGAGCCATTCATCAACATAGAAGAAGTTGAATGCAATATACTGCTATGAGATTTATAAAATATAAAATATTCAAAATTGCATCTTTTGTTTATGAAGAAATCGCCGGTGATTACACAATATGATATGCTCAAGATAATATCTGCACCTTGCTTTTAGACTACTTTCCTCAGAAATATAAATTTTTGGAGCAATGATCACCGTGTCTTCCTTAGCAATAATTATACAATCAACTATTGATATTATGTTGGCTAAAATATAAATAAAACAATTAACATGCCGTATGCAATCTTTCTTGTGGTAAAAATTCATCTATTTTTGTTGAATAAACGAATTCATCACAAATAAATGTGTTTCGTTTTCTTCCTGATAACTCGATCAAAGCTACTATCGTTATGATTTTAACTAGTTGTGGTCAATGCAGAAAAGTCTCAGTTGAGGTTACTCGAAACACTGCTGTTCATGCATCCTCATCTTATATTAAACCTTCACATCAAGACATAAGGAAGCTTTCATCTAAATTAAAAAAATAATTAATATTTTAATAATAAATATATTAAGCTAATATTACTCATTTTTACTTTAAATTCTCAAAAAATTGTACCGCTTTCTTATGTATTTTAATCATTATTCTTCGTTGCAGAGTACCATCTTGAGTAATCCTTGGAAATAAATAATAGTGAAATTGATTTGATATTTGGCATCATTAATATATTAAGAAAAACCTTATTACTCATGCTTGACATTATATAGAATTATTGTGTGAGAATCTGAATGTTTACTTCTTAGCATTTGAAGTCTGTTTGCTGTCCTTTTCTGCGCACTACATATTATGTTGACTTTGTTCTCTGGTAATGACTAGTAAGTAATAAGTTGTCACGACTTGTTCTGTCAACACCTTTAAATATATCTTTCATTGTTTCTATAATTAGCCAACTATCTCATTGCCATAAATGCAGGCTTATCTTATGATTATATAATTTAATGCCAAGGGATAGAGGAATTTAATGAGATATTTGTACTAAACATAAGTAAATATAATTAACGATTAAACAAATAAGATAATAACATACTTACTATCATGGATTTACACATCTACTTCCATTATTAACATCCTTTTTCTTGAATAGCTCTAATGCGTACCAAAAGATATGTGACAATAGAGATATTATTTAACGTCTTAGAATTGATCGAAGATATATCATAAACATAGATAAATGAGAAGCAAGAGGAGAAACCTCAATTTTTATGTGATAAACCCTAAAAAAAGGGAAAAAAACCTATGGGGTCTAGTCAGGTTGAAATGATCAACTATGAATGGCGTGTACACAAGTTCACCATTCTCTTGAATTAAAAAGGATCGAGTTACAAAGTTAATCATTATAAATTTATAGTAATAGTTCATTGATAATATTCGTAGTCTGATTGTAATGAATGTAGTTATTTGTAATAGTAGGCTACAATTACTGTAGTCGATTGCAATGGAGGCAGCACTTCGCCTTGAATGTTGTTGATAGCGGCTATAGCTCCACTTTGTCGTATAGGTCGTATGTGAAAGCCATTGTAGTAGTTGGTTGGGTGGGCTGCATATGGTTACTTTACCAGAGTCAGTTGGCCATAAAAGTTGTAGTATGAAGTTGCAAAAGCTGTGAGTTGGTCACATAGGCTGTAATGATAGTTGCGATGACGTCTATAGGTCCGGGAGGCAGGAGTCGGGAGCTAATTAAGGGTATGTTTGGCACAGCTGCCTGGCTGCTGCGCGGCATTGCCCTGCGATTATTTTGTGTTTGGGGCTACGTCTTGTCTGCAGCAGGCCGCGAATCAGACGGAATGTTGAATGTGATCACAGACACGTGGCCCAGCTTTTTGGTAGATGCGTTAAATTGGTTTTAGGCTTGTGCCCTCAACTCTACCCTAAACACAAGTGGAGCTTCCCCTTTTCGAATCTTCTCAACTCCTGAGCATCATCCTCTTCCTGAGCAAAGATTTCCCAACTCCTCCTCTTCGCCAACCCTAGTCTTCCTCCTCCCGAGATCTGGTCCTCTGTGTTCTCTTCTCCGACGAGATTCCAGACCTCCATCGTGTCGTCTACCCTAAACGCAGCCCGGCTTCCACCAAGCAGCGGTAATTTTTTTTTTTCCTTTTAATGCTTCAGATTTGATGAATCTTCACATTTAGATTCTCATTTAAGGCAATGTTTCGGATCATCCTACTATAAACGAACAATCTCATAAGAAAGGACTACCACTATCACTATTGAAGTTTTAAAATTAGTTTTCTATTTGCAACCTCATAGTAATCTCATTAATTTTATCTTTAGGGTCATTTACGTACATACAACAAAATTCACTTGTTCATAATTGTGCTGAATGTATTTTGTTTACTAAGAATTATGTGCTATGTGTGTAAATGCTTCTTATTGATTTAGGATTTCTCGGGTTTTCATGTTTTGTGAGCCTCCACTTTCTACATTTTAGGCTCTTTTCCTTTTGATTTAGTAAATTCTTCCTTTTTGATAGTGAATTTGCCCAATTTTTCATATAAATTTGTGTGTTATTTTTTTTTTGCTTTTTTTGATGTTCAGAGTACCAATTTTATAATGCTTATAAACTATGCTTTCGTACTGCTATAACTGCAAACAAAATTTTTTAGTACTGAAAGACAAGATCTCTTCTGAAATTATTGAAATAGTAATATTTACTGGAAGACACGATCGTTTTGCAAAAAATATGCTAAGAGAATGATGTCAATGATCAAACATGGCAGATTTGTCATATTTCCTATCATAAAGTTGCTTTAAATTTTATTTTAGCAATTGCTTCATATTTATTTATCCTAAAATAATCAATTAAACCCTCGAAATGCAAGGAAATGTTATATTTATTTAATTGTTCATTGAAATATCGTAGTTTATTATAATAGTTGAAAGTAGGAATGTGGGGCAATTCATGTAAGGTTATTGCATTACAGAAACAATGTATTCATCACATAACACACATTTTTCATCAAAATCCTATTTCTATCAAAATGTGTTTTCATATAATATGGCATAAGAAATCCTCTTTATTTATTTGACATCCTGACTTTGACACATACCAATATGAAAATCTTAATATTGTTAGCCATAAATAGATATCTTTCATATGTTCATTTGTTGAAGTAAGTTTTAATACTGTCAGCCTTAATTGGTGATGTGTCATTGTAACTTTGACACATACCAAGCTTTGGTAAAATTTAACTTCGTATTGGTATGTGCCATCCTATCTTGGAAACACGCCTAACTTGTTTTCATATTGGTATATGCCTTACTTGTATAGTTCGAATGTTCTTTTGTGAAGAAGTTTGGTAGTACTTTCTGTTGGAATAGAAGTGCAAATTTATCTGCTTTCTAGTTTCTCTTTTATGAAAACCTCATCCACTATCACTTGTTTGGTTTGATCAATTTTTTGGTCATGTTAGTTGATTTGGTTTTTGAGGAAAAATAGTCCAGTCGCATCTTCTTTCATGCATATTACTGATTTTTTATAATGGTCAGCTTCATGTTGTAGTTTTGTGCTTAATTCACCGTTTTATCAAAGTGTTTTACTGTAAATCAAGAATCTCATATGAGAATACTCCCACTGGAACTCTTGGAGTTTTCATTTTGCAATCTGTAAGCAGGATTTTGTCAATTCCACATTTCAGAAATTTTTAGTTATTGTTTCACTTATTTTTTTCTCTTTGTGGCAAAGCAATGATTTTTGTAATAACCATTTGTTTTGTAGGGAGAGTACGGAGTAATAAAATTGTTTTATGTTCATGTAACAATATATTTGTTTTCTGTAGTAATAAAAGGTCAAATAAGATCAAAGAAACAGCTACACTGGCATTATGGGAGAAAGTGACCAAAATAATTTTTTGTGACCTTAGCATTAAATAAATAGAACAAGGAAATAAGCAAACAACCTTTTTTAACAAAGAAGGGTGGCAAAATATTACAAAAAAGATCAAGAAATTTACAGACAGAGAGTATGACATGATGCGATTGAAAAATAAATGGAATCAACTTAAGAAGGATTGCAAAATATGGAAGTAATTGAAATGAGGCTCAACATATTGGGGTGAGATTCGGTGAAATGAACAATATATGCACCTGAGGAGTTTTGGGTCAAAGACTTATGGTGAGCACTATTCAAAACTATTGTTATTTAGTAACTTTTTAATTTTTTACTAATTTTTTTCTCCTATATTATATTTAGGTGGTGCCCGCTGCAAAGAAATTTAAGATTTCTAGAATTGTGCCTGAATTAGAGGAAAAGCTTGATCACATGTTTGGGGTGATGGTTGCAATGGGGAACTGTACATGTATCCCATGCGAGGTAGGGTTTTCTGCCAATCCAATGGATCTGGGAACCCCGAAGGTTCAGGTGATCTTATTGAAGTCCTCAGTCCGGAGCAGAACGAATATGATTCCACTCCCCATGCCAAGCTTCCAAGGGTAGATAATAGAAAAAAAAATTGGTTATAGTTTTATTAGAAACCAAATCTCTCAGCTGGTGTTTGCTATCAATGCAAAATCATGGACTTCTCATTCAACCAATATTGAGGAGGCACTTGGAATCATTACTTTCTATTATTTAATATGAGTTTCGGGTTATTACTTTTCTTTTTAGATTTGTTCGTAGCGATATTTATGTGATGTTTTTGAAATTCATTTAAGCAAAAGTTCATTATGCCATGCTTGTAAATTGCTTAATGAAAGTACATCGATATGAGTTTTGGGTTATTTTGA